CCCTGTACTGGTCTGCTTCAGAGAGCCTTTGGAGAGAGACTGTATTGTTTGTCTTTTTAACTTTGCTTCTTGTTTTTCTGACCTGTGGTTATTCTTTGTATTGCTGTGATGTAACTTTTCTTTCTTCATTTCTCTCTTCTGTACCTAAGGATTGTACCTCAGTACCTTTGTACATAAGATGGTGCCGTAAGTGGCGACTTACAAACTGTTCACTGTACTGATTTGAGCATGTGTGACAATAAAGCTAATTCATTTCAATTCAATAACAAATTGGTTATTCATAACTTTAACATAGAAAACCTTCCCAGGTTTGAGAGGAGGCCAGAAGTGGAGAAACAATAAGTCATTTGGTGGCAAAACTTTTGGGTTGAAGGTGGCCACAGAGATAGGATGGGGCAAAGTGACAACGCAGCTTAAACTGAACGACCGGAATTTTAAATTGAATTTGTTGGGGGTTGACATGCTGTCAGACAGAAACAATATACTGCACTTGGAAGTTGGTATGGGGCAGAAAACACCAGGAAGTCGTTGGAGAAACCGAGCTCACAGGCTGTCAAGAGTGGGAGGCCATCCAGAGAACCAGTGGACGAGTCAGTTCTGGAAGTGACAAAAGCATGGATGAAAACGTCAGCAGTAGATGGACTGAGAGTGTGGGGGGCACCATGTGTTCCAAAGCAAGCAATCCAACTTTCTGACCTACTTTCAGAGGAGCTACACCTATCCCTTCACAACTATCTGTTGGGGCGCCCTGGCCTCAGTAACATTTTCAGGCCTGTTCAAAGACTCGCTATAGACCTTGGCTACAATCCCACCCCATCTTACTGCCTTTGTCAAGATTAGCAGACCAACAGACAGACAAATGTTAACCCCCCCCCGCCAACCCCATATATTTTCAGATGATAATTGGTTATTTTGGCATCTGAGCAATTGGTTTACATGTCAGATTATTTTTATTCATATTGCGTTTGAAACAAGACTGACACATTTTTCCTTCACACCTTCCTTTGCCAGAGAGACCGAGTCAAAATTCATCTTGAAATGTAATTGAGAGAGATTAAGTTGAGAGGCTACCCATTTGGAGCTGTCAGTGGTGTTTGAACCTGTGACCTTGCAGATGTTAACACTGCCCCAACATCAGACATTAGCTGTCTTAAGCTGGGATGTTCTAAATATATGGTCATGATTTTTTTTTTGGAATTTTTTTTCTTGAGTTCACACCAGGCGCCTGTCATATCAAAGATTTAGCATTTCCCTGTTGGAGGACTGCTGCAGCTGGAGCTGTTAAAGAGCTGAGGTCAAAAGTTTGTAAAGTAGAAGTAGGAACTCTGGTAACTGTGCAACTTTAATGCAAGTGGTGAACTTTCTGCTAATTCCACAATCTATCCCTCACACACACAAAATAGTTCTACTCTCTCTCTTTCTTCCTCTCTCTGTCTTTCTGTCTCTCTCGCTCTCTCACACACACACACACACACAAAGAATAGTTCCATTCTCTTTCTCTCTGTCTTTCTCTCTCTCTGTCCTTCTCACACACAAAATAGTTCTATTCGCTTTCGTTCTGTTTTGCTGTCTGTTTGTGTTTTTCTGTCTCTCTCTCACACGCGCACACACACAATTCTTTTTCTCTCTTTCAGTCTTGCTGTTTCTCTCTCGCTTTCTTTCTCTCTATCCCTCAAACACAGAACAGTTCTATTCTCTCTTTCTTTCTCTCTCTCTCTTTCCATCTCTATACCTCTCTCACACACACAAAACAGTTCTATTCTCTTTCTCTCTCCCTCTTTCTCTCTTTCTTGCTCTGTCTCTGTCTCGCGCACGCACAAAGCAGTTGATAGGCAACAATGACCATTGGAAGAAAGATGAGACCCATCACTTTAAATTAAGTCATTTGTACAAATATGATCAGGATTGGAAGGATCAGAAACATATATTTGCTGTGTCTGCAAAAATGCAGTTAGATTATTTTGTAGAAATCTCTTTTATTTTGTGCTTTCCCCTTTACCTGTCTGCCTGTATTCTGCCCACTTCTGCATCGCATTCTCTAAGCCTCTTTCTAACTCCCTTGCTCTGTTTAATTTTCACTTCTTGTTCATTGCCTCATTTACTATGACCCATCTGTCCATCTCTCTTTCCCTCCTACTGTTTTGGTCACTTTCTGTTCCAACCTGTTTTGTCTCCTTATCTATCTCTCTCATTACAATCACTTGCTTTGCTTTCTCACTCTCTGTCGGGTTAGTTTTTTTTTCCCTTTTATCTCACTCTCTCTGCCTCCTTCTCTGTCTTGTACTTTCTCTTTCTGTTGATGGAGTTACTAAATTATATGGAGTTAACAACACCTCCACACCTTTGGCTGTCTCTCCCTTACTCTTCAGCTTGCGTGCATCTGTTTCTGCTGTTGTTTCCTGTATTTGTCTCCCCCTTTCTGCTTATCTCCATCTTTGTCTCCCTCTCTCTGCCTTGTGAAGCACACTTTATAAATGCAATTTGCCTGTGTTTCTGTCTTAGTCTCTCTTTTCTCTCCTTTCATGGCTTCCATCACTGTATTGCTTGATAGATAGTAAATGCGTCAGAGTTACCATTGATTTGCTTGTTACTTGGAAGAATGTTGCCAAAACTTAATTTAAAAGTTTGGAATGTTAAAATCATTTATTTTTAATTTTCTGAAATGCATGGATATTGCTCGCATTTTTTTATATAATAGAGCCCTTTTGCTAATATATTTAAACTAGATTAGTTACTGAGATGTGTGTGTAAATGGGAATGTTCTGACTTTGTGTAAAATGCCGTGGACATGTAATCCCTTTACAGGTCCACCCCCATCAGGATGGTCTTAGGGCTCTCCGCTTCTTGGTGAACCCACCACCACCCTCCTTTCCCTGGCCCAGCCCATCCTCACCCGGAACAACTTCTGTTCTAACTCCTTTCACTTTCTTCAGATCAGAAGGGGGGCTCCACATGGGCCCCAGTTATGCCTGCCCCTTTGTGAGGTATGTGGAACACTCGTTGTTCCAGTCCTGTCCCGGCCCCCACCCATAAATCTTTCAGCGGTACATCAATGATATCATCGGTGCTGCTTCCCTCTCTCGTTGGGAATTGGAAAAATTAATCAATTTCGCTTCCAGTGTTCGTCCCGTTCTCACCTTCACCTGGTCCATCACTGACTCCTTCCTTCCTTTCGTCGACATCTCTGTTTCCATTTCCAGGGATAGGCCAGCCACCAATATCCACTACAATCCACCGACTTCCACAATAACCTTCATTACGCATCGTCACATCCTGTTTTATGTAAAGAATCTATTCCATTCTCCCAATTCCTCTGTCTCCGTCGCATCTGTTCTGATGATGCCAACTTTGACAAGGGGGTCTCTGAAATGTCCACCTTCTTCCTCAACCGAGGATTCCCCAGCAGCATTGTCGACAGGGTCCTCAACTGGGTCCGACCCATCTCTCGCACTTCCGCCCTTACCCCTTCTCTTCCCTCCCACATCATCCTTACCAACCGTCCCACCAACATCCACATCTAGAAGATCGTTAGCTGCCATTTCCACCACCTCCCAGCACCAGATACACATTCCCCTCCCCTCCCTTGTCTGCCTTCTGCAGGGACCATTCCCTCCGGGACATCCTGGTCCACTCTTCCTTCACCCCCAACACCTCCCCACAGCCCTACTGCACCTTCCCCTGTAACCGACGAAGGTGCAACACCTGCCCATTTACCTTCTTCCTCCCCAGTATCCAAGGGCCCAAACATATCTTCCAGGTGAAGCAACAGTTAACTTACACTTCCCAGAGTCTAGTCTACTGCATTCGCTGCTCACAATGTGGTCTCCTCTACATTGGGGAAACGAAGCATAGACTTGGCGACCACTTCGCAGAACATCTACGTTCAGCCGGCAAAAAAGACCCTGAGCTTCCAGCTGCCTGCCACGTTAACACACCAGCCTGTTCCCTGGCCAACGTCTCTGTCTCAGGTTTGCTGCAGTGTTCCAGTGAAGCTCAGTGCAAACTGGACAAACAGAATCTCATTTTCCGCTTGGGAACTCTACAGCTTCTGGACTCAATATTGAGCTCGATAATTTTAGGGTTTGAGGCACCTTCTCCCACATCCTTAACCCAAAGCCCACACACCAGGCCTCATTATCCCAGAGTTAATGTTTCGGTTCCGGTGACCTTAAGGGCGTTAACTTTCTTTTTTCCTTCACAGACGCTGCCAGACCTGCTGAGCTTTTCCAGCAACTTTGTTTTTGTTCCTGATTTACAGCATCCGCAGTTCTTTTGGTTTTTACTTGTTATCCCATGGTCTGGTATTAAACACAATCCATTGTTAGCCCTAAATGTCCCCATTAGCTGCCAGTCATTCTCCCAGGCTGACCGTTACCCACTCCTGTGTCTGTTCAACTTTTCTTTTCTCTCTCTTTGGCTGTATCTCCACACAAACACACACACACACACATACACATAGACACACACACATACACACAGAGGCACACACATACATACAGACACACACACACAGAGGCACACACGTGCCCACACATACACACTCACACACACAGAGAGGCACACACACACACACACATAGACACACACACACACACACACACACAGGCACACACACACACACACACACACACGCATAGACACACACATGCAGACACATAGGCACACAGACACATAGACACACACGCATACAGACACACACACACAGAGGCACACACACACACGCATACACTACCTTCTGCATACAAACCAATCTTTTCCTAGCTACCATCTGTTCTCAGGAAGGGTCACTGGACCCAAATGCGTTAACTCTGATTTCTTTCCACAGCTGCTGCTGGACCTGCTGAGCTTTTCCGGCAATATCCATTTGTATTTGAAATAATCATACCTTATTTTAAACCACTCATTGGTGTGAAGGGTGTCTTTGATTTAGCAGACACTGTCTCTCTTGTTACCGACTGATTCAAATTACCCAATTGTAAATCCAATCTTTCTTATTGCAGTGACTTCAGTGAGAACCGGATTCAAGCTCTTCCCCGAAAAGCATTCCGTGGTATTGTTGACATCAAAAACCTGTGAGTAAACTGTGTTTTTTGTTCATACTTTGTCCTCTCAATTTCCATTGCAATATCCCTGAAAACTCTCAGCCAAGTAACCCTCAACAGTGATAGATTTCCTTTGTGACAATGTGGAGGCGCCGGTGTTGGTCTGGGGTGGACAAGTTCAGAAGACACCAGGTTATAGTCCCAACAGGTTTATTTGAAATCACAAGCTTTTGGAGCGGTGCAGCTTTTTCAGGTGAAGTGGGCTCAAATAAACCTGTTGGACTATAACCTGGTGTTGTGTGAATCTTGAGTTTATGACGATGTAACATGTACAATGAAACCTTTAGCCTATTTCATGATGAACCAATTTACTCCACGTTCACCATGAGAGGACGTGACACGAAAATCTCACCATTTCAAATTGAGGTCTCCTGATTTTGGGTTCGTTGTGTAAAGAGTCCTTTATCCCTTCTGTTAACCCATCGTCTGCTTATACTCACTGAACTCAAAAGAGTTAACACCACATCTAAACTGGGATAACTAGCCAGGGCTATATTTGTTGCAGGAACAAATTACTGCAGATGCTGAAAACAACAAACACTGGAGATCACACCAGGTCCGGCAGCATCCATGGAGAGAGAGCAAGCTAACATTTCGAGTCTAGATGACTCTTCATCAGAGTGAAGTGTGGAGGGGACTTTAGGGTGTATGTGGAGTGCTGGGGGGAGAAAGGATGTTGATAGTTCAGATTAAGTGATCAGAAAGTGAGAATGGCAGGTCTAACTGTTAGACAGGCCCATCGGAGTTGGGGGAAGGGAAGAGAGAGCATCACTTAGAATGCCTACAGTGTGGAAACAGGCCCAACAAGTCCACACTGACCCTCAGAGCATCCCACCCAGACCCATCCCCCTATAAGCCACCTAATCTACACATCCCTGAACACTATGGGCAATTTAGCATGGCCAATCCACCTAACCTGCACATCTTTGGCTGGAAACTGGAGCAAACCCACGCAGACACGGGGAGAATGTGCAAACTCCACACAGACAGTCGCCTGAGGGTGGAATCGAACCCAGGACCCTGGCGCCGTGAGGCAACAGTGCTAACCACCAAACCACCGTGCAATCCACTTGCCATAGCAAGTTCAAAGATGTGAGTTAATCTGAACTATCAATACCCTTTCTTCCCCACAATCCCCACCCTCCATTGTAGCATAAATGCTGCCCCCTCCACATTTCACTTCAGCTCTGATATAGAGTCATCTAGACTCGAAACGTTAGCTTGTTCTCTCTCCATGGATGCTGCCTGACCTGTTGTGATCCCCAGTGTTTGTTGTTTTCACGGCTTTTTTGATATTGACTTTTGGTGTGAAATTAAAGGCCAATGCAGTCCCCTTGACTATCATCGACTGGAAGCGAGAGCAGAAATATAAAAATAATTTGACGCAAGCACATCTGGGTATCAGTTTGAAGAATTTGGATTCTTTACACGTGCCATATTCGACTAGATATGGTCACTATTGCCTGAAGTGGGCAATGAGGAGAGAGTTGCATTTATGTGGCACCTTTCATTATCAAAGGATGCCATAAAACACTTTACAGTCAATGCAGTACTTTAAAAGTGTATACACTGTTGTAAGTAGGAAATGCAGCAGCTAATTTACACACAGTGAATAACCACAGATAGCAATCTGATAATAGCCAGATGATCTGTACTTGGGCTATAAATTACTTGTCAGGAAGCTGGAAGTAACTTCCTGCTCTTCTTAGGAATGAAGCCATGAAATATTTTATGTCTGTCTGAGAGAGCTGATGATGCTTCAATTTAATGTTTCATCTGAGAGAAACATCTCAAACGGTGCTACATTCTCTCAGTACTGCACTAGATGGTTAGCTTCGATCTTTGGGCTTGAGTGGATGTCGTGAGATTTGAACCCATGATTTTCTGGCTCAGAAATAAGAATTGAACCAATTTAACCACGCCCACTTGTAACAATTGATCCAAACCCGTATCTCTCTGGATCAGTTGGAATCTGTTGTATCGATTGGATGACTGATATTGTACCTCAGAACACAATGTGAATGGCTTGTGAAATTATTCCTGTTCTGAAACAGCAAAGTAAGACCCATAAATTAAAACCATTAACATATGCTGCAAAATACCAACCTCACCTTATCAAATGGTTCGTACAAAATGAAGACTGCCATTTCTCTTATCTAGCTTCTTAATTGCTGTTTTGACAGATATAAATGTTCACTGAAAGTGAAGAAAGTGTTGCAGTGGTACATATAAGCACCCAAATCCCAGCCCTATATTTACTGGCATGTAGCATCCAGTTTTATTACTGTACTGAGGGCAACCATGACCCAGCTGTGTAGCTGTGCTTACAGGTATCTGAGATCCAGCTCTGTAAATGTACTTACAGGCACCTGAGTCCCAACCTGTATTAACAGGTACATTATGCCAACACATAAGCAGTATCTACAATCTGCTGAATCCCAGTGTTGGAACTGTACTTACAGGCATCCAAATGCTAGCCCTGTAATGTAGTTATAGGTAACCCCGACCCAACCTCATTCCTAGGGCTACTTGCTCATCTCCACCCTCCTCTTCCCTGTTCCTGTATTTATTGTTTTACGACCCAGCTCCAGTGCTGTTCCCCCTTGCAAGCTCTCGAGTGCTGATGTTCTGTCCCTTGTATCTCGCAGGGTTCTGCATTGCCTTATCTCTCCATCACAGTGTCGCTGCTCAGCTCCTGTGTACCCAATGGAATTCCTATTCCATTGCCAGTCATAGAGACACATAGCGTGGAAACAGACCCTTCGGTCCAACGAGTCCACAGCGACCATGTTCCCAAACTAAACTAGTCCCACCTGCCTGCGCTTGGCCCATGTCCCTCCAAACCATTCCTCTTCACGAACTTGCCCAAATGTATTTTAAATGTTGTAACTGTACCCACATTTATCACTTTCTCTGGCAGTTCAGTCCACACGCAAACAGCTCTGTGCGTAAAAAAAAAGTTGCCCCTCAAGTCCTTTTTAAATCTTTCTCCTCTCACCTTAAAAATATGCCCCCTAGTTTTGAACTACCCCACCTTAGAGAAAAGATGTTGGCCATTCACCCTATCCATGCCCCTCCTGATTTTACAAACCTCTTTAAGGTCACTCCCTCAACCTCCTATGCTCCAGTGAAAAGAGTCCCAGCCTATCCAGCCCCTCCTTATAACTCAAACCCTCCATTCCCGGCAACATCCTGGAGTCTTAGTGCTGCTGCTTCCTTGTTACCCATGACGGCTGATCATGAAAAATTAAATAGTTAAAAGATACTGTAACGCAAAGTGAAATGAAGAGACGAGAACTTGGAAAGTCAGGCAGATATCCTGCTCTTACCTTTTGGCTTTCAGTTGAATTGTCCCACAACAGTTTAAAGAGGTGGGTGACCGTCGTTTATGTCCAAGAGGTAAGATTCCTTTCTTTTTATTCTTCAATGCAACCAGACGGCATTTAAGACTCAAGGGAGCAATGGACTGAACTAAATCCATTAATCTGAGTGATTTTCCTGCAGTATGGAAAGTTGGGCCTGTCCAAGTTAACCTTTTTTAATCAATGTGTTGGAATTTGTGCTATGGATCCAATCCCCGGCTTCTTTCCTTAAAAAGTATTTTGACCGCAAAAACCCGGGGTCACTCACAGATTCCTGCGATGATTCAAACTCAGTCATGAAGGCTCATAAAAAGAAGCTAAAAGCCCGGCATGGTGGTGAGATCAATTGCTGTTTTTCTGATGTGAAGCTAAGTAAAACATTTGCAATGATTTATATTCCTTGAGTAAGTGTTTCACTGTGCCCACTCTGTTCGATGCAAGAGACGGCTAATTTATCATAAATTGCACTGTAATTCTTAATTGCTCTTTCAAACAGCTTTATTAGAGCCGTGAACCCAGAATGCGTCATTCTGACAACATTCCCCTTTCGCATCCATTTTAATATTCAGTTCCTTCAAAACTGCCTCCTTTTTCTTCCAGCTTTTCACTTGCATTGCTTTCCATAACAAAAAGATTTCAAAGTAAAACTTTCCTGGGACCCACGTGGTGCCATGAGATGTCTGAGTGTGGTTTGAAATGACGTTTCTGAACTGACTGAATAAATTCCAGCCCAGAGAGAGCGTTGAGATCTGTAGACTGCTATCAGGCTGGTCTTTTGGGAACAAATACGCTGCTAGTAGGAAGGGTTCATTTCTCCTGGAGATGGTTCGAGAGCTCTCAGTTTGATGTCCAGCTCTCTTCACTCAAACGGGCATTGCCCAACAGAGATTAACTGGTCATCTTTCTCATTTCTTTTTTGCATTGTGCCATGTGAAACAGGCTCCGAGAAACCACAGTGACAGAAATGCAATTCATCCATTGACCATGAGCACTCTGAAAGGTGCAGTTATAGAGTCATAGAGGTATACAGCATGGAAACAATCCCTTTGGTCCAACTCGTCCATGCTGACCTGATATCCTAAATTAATCTAGTCCCATTTGCCAGCAGTTGGCACATATCCTTCTCAACCCTTCCTGTTCATACACCCCTCCAGATGCCTTTCAAATGTTGTAATTTTACCTGCTTCCAACACTTCCTCTTGCAGCTCACTTCCTTAAACCTATGCCGTCTAGTTTTGGACTCCCCCACCCTGGGGAAAAATGACCTTGACTATTCACTCTATCCATGCCCCTCATGATTTTATAAACCTCTATAAGATCACCCCCTCAGCGTCTGACACTCCAGGGAAAATAGCCCCAGCCTATTCAGCCTCTCCTTAAAGCTCAAATCCTCTAACCGTGGCAACATCCTTGTAAATGTTTTCTGGACCCTTTCAAGTTTCACAACATCTTTCCTATAGCTGTTGAATTACAAATTATCTTTTTTCCTGATAAGTCCTAGTTCATATTTTAAACAACTCACAACTTGGGATGGAGAATATTTTGTTGTGACCTTAACTTTCCATAAGTTGCAAGTCACCCTGATGTTTCCATGCCTGCATGCAGTCT